TCAACAAGCGGGCCTGACCTAAGGTGAGTTTTAAATAGGGACAATTTTTAAACAATTTTAAAGAGCCACAGCTACCAATATTTGGATTTTAATTGGTTTTTAGCAGGGGAAAATTTTTTGTACAATGTTTTAATATGCTGTGAGCCGCCCTGAGTCCCATGGGGAGAAGGGCGGCATATAAATTTAAATATAAATAAAAATAAATAAATAAAATAAATAAATGTCTAATATATGAAGGATTGTGAAAATAATCTCATTGAAAGTATGTTCCATGTTAACAAAGAATGCATGCCGTTAAAAAAGGCATTATTCCATCAATTTTAGCTTCATAATATCTTGCTGAATCACAACTTCAGTCTTGAAAAAAAAATTAGCAATAAAGAGGAGACACTAAGCTTGGCATTCTTGTCAGGATTCAAAAGTTTCCATTGTTATTGCAGAATTGCCTACCTTGGAAAAGTTGTTAAATTTTAATTGCATGTCACTCCAGTGAAACTTATATGGCAGACTTGCTGACTAAACATTTGAAAGGGCTGCTCTTGTAATAAAGATGTGGTATCAGTGCTGACGTTCAGTTAAAGGTTTTTCAGGTACTACTTTTCTGTTTCTCAGTACTGGATATTGTGTCAGTTTCAATCTCTTCTCTGAATGCTATATATTATGCTATGACCACAGTGTTGAGCCACAAGAGGAAATGTGCTTTTTAGTAAAAAACCATGCCTGTGACCCACTGTTTTCACTCTTTCCAACCTGACAGAATGTTGGAAATAAATAAAGTAAAAGAGCTCAGAACTCTATTCCTCTGCAGGAGAACTGGGACCTAATTTGTGTGGTAGCAAAAGTCTATATATTTTAAAAATGACTTTTTCTGGTTTGGGTCTGAAGAGGGGAAAAATATCTCCCAGTGCATCCCTAAGAGAATTGAAAGATTCTCTTGAATTGAACCCCTGCGTTCTTTCAGGTGGCATTGCCCAGTTCTCTGCCATAGGATTGCTGTTGGGAAGGGAAAAAATAGGTTGCTGTGCTTTGATACAAGTCTATATGATACAAAGACGTGCTCTGCATGTTTTTTTTCCAACTTGTTATTCTTTTCAACTCAACATAATGTTGGAAAAACATTAAGGAAAAGAGGGGAGAACTTTATTGTTGAGTGTTCCAAAACTAAATAAACAGGGCCAGATTTTGTGTGGGACAAGAAACTGGCAGAATAGTAAATTTGAAAATAGGCCATATCTAGCAACAAATGCAACAAACAAAAGAAAAATCCTGAGAAAAAATAAAAACACATCTTTGGGCAGACTATTGGGTAGTGTCTTACAAAGTAGTTAATACTTTAAGCCATCTTTAATATGCCTTCCTCTTTCCTGGTGACATCCGAGGGTGGCATTTTTATTAAAATGCTGCATTAGGATTTATGCTTTTTCATAATATGTGAAAATGGGAATAATATACACAGAAAGTCCTTTTGCAAAGGCACCAGTGCTTTTTCCAATCACAGCCTGTACAGCAATTTGTTGTAAACAAGTAGACCTCAACTTACAACCACAATTGAGCCCAAAATTTTTGTTTCTAAATGAGATATTTGTTAAGTGAGTTTGCTCCATTTTATGACCTTTCTTTGCCACAGTTGTTAAATGAATAACTTCAGGTATTAAATTAGTAACACGGTTACGTGAATCCGACTTTCCTATTGACTTTGCTTGTCAGAAGGTCACAAAAAGTGATCACATGACCCCAGGACACTGCAACCATCATAGATATGAGTCAGTTGCCAAGTGTCTGAATTTTGATTATGTGCTGCAACAGTCATAAGTGTGAAAAACGGTCATAAGTCACTTTTTTCAGTGCTATTATAACTTTGAACGGTCAGTAAATGAACTATTGTAAGTTGAGGACTACCTGTACTGTATTTCCATAGATTTTATATTAGAACAACAATATCTGGCCTCCTATGTGTTAATGTGAGAGATATTGCTTTTTTAAATGGGTGAGATTATGAAATAGCTTCATTTAGAAAGACATTTAATAAAACACTCCAGTTTTTATGCACCATTCTTTCCAAATTACAAGTGCTACACTTCTAAATGAAATAAAATGTTTTTAGTAGTGACTGAAATGAAAAATATATCTCACCTTAAAGGTCTTCAGTTCTTAAGAAATGGTAGGTTTTGCCAGTTTTTTTGAAAGAGATCCCATGAAATGTATAAGTGTTACAATTCTTTTTAAATAATTAAAAATGTCACATTTTTTCCAGATGACTTGGCTACTTTATAGGCTACTATAGAAGTTTCTATTTTCCTTTGCTTGCATATGTGATTTTGATAGTAGTCTTTAGCTGATTATTTGATCATGAACTATTGTTAAAAAAAACACAAATTCTTTTATTAATAGGATTAAAAATAAAATCTTAAGACATCTTGGGATTGTATGTTTAACACAAATATGCATCAGCTTGAAGTCTTTGATTAAAAGACTCCCTACACCAGTGATGGCGAACCTTTTAGAAACCCAGTGCCCAAACTGCAACCCAAAACCCACTTATTTATCACTGGGTGCCGTGTGGGCGTGGCCGCGGTGGTCATGACAGACTGGGTGGGCGGGGCCAATGTGGTGGGGGCCAGTTGCTCACCATCTCCGGGGCATGGCACGAGTGCCCACAAAGAGGGCTCTGAGTGCCGCTTCTGGCACATGTGCCATAGGTTCGCCACCACTGCCCTACACATTAAACATTATGAACATGGATGTGCCACTAATTACTTTGACTTAAACTTTTAGAGTTGGATTTTGGCTAAGCCAAACTTCAGTTGAAATAGAAATTATGGAATGCTGTTTGTTTGTTTTCTTACAGCCCATACGCCATTTGAAATATTCTCCCTTTAAAAAAGCATTACTGGGCAGCGTCTCTGACAGTGGAACTGTAACCCTGTGGGATGTCAACAGTCAAACTCCGTACCATAACTTTGAAAATGCTCATAAAGCTCCAGCTTATGAAATCTGTTTTTCTCCCATCAGTGAGTTGCTGCTTGTAACTGTAGGTCTAGATAAAAGGATAATTCTCTATGACACAGCAAGTAAAAGGTAAATATATAATTGTCAGTGTACTTACTTACAATATAAATAACAGCTTTCAGCTAGTCACTTGACAAATGGGCTGCCAATATATTCAATAAACAAATAAATTTACATCAAACCCAAAATATTTTAAAACCTTCATCATGAACTCTCTAATGAAACTAAACTCATTTTAATTTCAAAAGTAAATTTGAAAAGTATGTTTGAAAATTGTTTTTAGAATGTTTTTCATATATAAAAATCTTGTTTGCTTCAGTAAAGAGAACCTTATAGTGATGAAACCTGAGAATGATTATTCATATGTCAAATCTTGAATTTGAAGTTCTCTGCAATTCATTATTAGATTGATTGATTAAATCAAATGGGAAAAGTGGAGAAAATCCAATGTTGATGCCCTGAAGTTTATTATTTATTTATGTACTGTCCCAGACAATTAAAAGCTTAAATCTGTTTTTTATTCTGAACCTATAATGGTTGGAGTGTATGAGAAGAAAATCTAAGCAGAAACCCCAAATAAGGTATAAGATATTCACTCCGAGAGTTCAATTTGCCATGCCACATACTTGAATCTTTGTCAAAATTGAGAAGGTATCATGACTAGCAGTTTTTAGGGACATGTTTCCACTAGAAGAATGATGACCTTTGTGTATGAACTTTATGCATTAATATTTAAATATAAGATGAATAAATAATAAAACTAAAAAGATAAAATGGGCATATTGGTAGAGATAATCATTTATCGGGAAAATGTGTGTGTCAGGTCTTATTTTGGCCATTAAGCCCACTGAATAATCTTGGGTCAGATATACAGATGTAACCAGATCAAACCCAACAGAAAACTCAACAAGATAACAGTTTTTATTTAAAAAACTGTATGTAACATTCTTACATTTTTTTCCTTTTGTGTTCAATATCTTTATTTGACATATAAAGGCAGTTGAGAACTTTAGTAGCAGAATCTCCTCTAACTGCAGTAGAATTCATGCCTGAAGGAAATTCACTGACTGTTGGCTCCTCTCGTGGAAAAATATACCATTATGATTTAAGAAAGCTGACAGCACCTGTGAAATCAGTCAGTGCTCACAAAACCTCTGTGAAATGCATAACACTGCAGAATTGTAACAGTTTTTCAAAGGTAAAAGACCTTGAGCATATATTGTTGAAACGTTGAATTAAAAAAACTAAATATTTTCCATTTATGGTAAATTAATAAACAAATCATGCACATTTATTAAGCTTTGAAATATCTTTATATTTTAATTGTATTCAAATTGTACAGTTTTTATGTCTACAAAACAGCTGATATTCTCAATCATACTGGTTTAACATTTAACTTGAAAATAATTTGTTTGAATGGTTTATTTTTACAGGAATTAAAAATGTTACGATAATTGATGCTAACATTCTAGTCATAGTTGTAGATAATTTTATTTGGAATATTTCTGACATACTTATTTTTATTTTTAGTCTAGTCATAAAACAAGTTCAAGTAAGCAAACTTGCAAAAAATCTGGGGTCAAATCGACAAATAATACTGGAGGAATTCAAAATGTTGGCATTTTAAAAAATCTTATATCTAATGTACCTGCTACATTCCTGCCCCAGTCCATGCCAAGTAATGAAGTTAAAGGAACTGATGCTATTCCAGAAAAATCAGGTAAAAAAAAAGAATTTTAAAAAACTCTTTTTTAAAAATTCTGTTATGCAAAAAAATGTTGTTTTTGTTATGTAAAGTTATTCACTCTGGTAAGGCCTTTTTTTTTTTTTTTTTTTTCCAAAAACGTTTTTTAACTCAATCATAGATGGCCTATAGTAAAAAAAAATTATCATCTTGGGGCCAGGAAAAACAGAATAAACAATACACGCTTAAAAATTAAACTCTACTTCTTCTCTTCTCTTCTCTTCTCTTCTCTTCTCTTCTCTTCTCTTCTCTTCTCTTCTCTTCTCTTCTCTTCTCTTCTCTTCTCTTCTCTTCTCTTCTCTTCTCTCTCTGCGTGTGTGTGATGTGTGTGTAAGAAAGACAGCACCACCAGAGCAATGGAGTACGTGACTCTTTCCTACGTCTGCTATTCCCAGCATTGCTTCTTGCGATACTGATTTGAAAATCATGTAATCATTTATCTGTGAGGTTTTTTGTGTTTGTTTGGTGAATCAAGGATATCACTCTAAATCTGTGTTTTCCAAATTTGGCAGCTTAAATGGAATGGTCTTCAACTTCCAGAATTGAAAGAATGCTGGCTGGAGAATTCTGGATGTTGAAGTCCACTCATCTTGAAGTTGCCAAATTTGAAAAACACTGCTTTAAATAAATATGAAAACAAGTTTCTCTATCTCTTAAGATAGCATATTTAGAACATTTTCCTATTTTGATTAAAGTAGTTTCACCAATATCTTTCTTTTTGAAAATTGCATATCTTTCTTTTTAAAGATAACCTTATGTAAAATTTGCATAAAAAAATATAACAAAATCCTGACTTTGACTCTGGTCAATTTTGGAGAGCCTTTTCAGTGTGCCATTCTAGGCAAAAAGTTGTAGACTTGTGGATGCTTATGGAATCTCCTATTGGGCATTTTTAAAAAATATCAAATGCTTAGATGATGATTTTTTTATGTGTTAAATGTATCTGTACTATTCATTATTTTTCTTGTTTTGAATAATTTTGTAATCTGTCCAGAAAACTCTGATTACAGATATAATAAATATATTTAGATGGCAGCATAATGCCTTTTTAATATTTGGAAGAGATTTTGAGAAATTTATTTACAGAAAAACAATTCTATCTTGTATTCAAGGCCAGTATTATCAGTAGACAAAATGAGATAGTCATTACAATTAGCACCCATAATGTATAACTTTAAGGTGCCCTGGCAGATACTTTCACTTATGCTGAAGAAATACTCAACTACAAGTTGCACATACAATGGGAGGGGTATGTTTCTTCATTCAGACAGCAAATGTTTCTATCAGCCCTTCCTGTATTGTTAATTAATGCCTAAAGGAAAGTAGCATTCTACCAGTGTTGTGGGTGGCTTGGCACAACATTTGTTAATATTCATTGTCCACACAATTAAAGTTATTCACAGGTATGGTTGGTAATGATTGGTTATGGTTATGGCTGTTGCTTGCAACTCAATATTAATTATATTTCCTCTACAACAAGCCCCATTGGTTGTGTGGAACATGCTACCAATCATATTTTGGCAGCATTCCATCTTTTTAAAGGTCAGCTTCTTATTAGAAATCTCTAAACCCCTTATCTGAAATCTGCTGAACTTGTTTTATTATTGCTATGACTCTTCAATATACCAAATTATATTGCTTATGAAAACAGAAGTTGCTTGCATGAATGAGAGTTTAGTTTATTCTTAAAGCAATTCTTTTCTTTTCAAAAATGTTTTCCCCTTATAGGCTTGACCCAGAGCAGCAATGTGGATGTAATTCCTTCCAAAGAGTTGGATCATGGGAATACTTCTAATTCAACTAATTTTGAAGACTTGGGAAAAAATAGTTTGGGTGACCTATTTTCTCCACTTCGAGATGGTATGTTGATGCTGAAATTAAACTGTTTGTTTATTAGTAAGAACTGTGTTTATTGCATTAGAACTCTTGCTCCTATTGACTCTTATGGTTAGAATGTTACAGTCATTCTGTAGTCAAATCTATTAGGTGGACCCAAGGTTTGCTTGAAGAATGCTCATCAATTATTTCTCATCGAATTGAAGGGAGATACTAAATGGATCCTTTTTTGCTCAATACTTTTTATCAATGATTTGAATGAAGAGATGTGTGAATGTTTATTATATTTGTAAATGATACAAACTTGGTGGAATAGCTCATAATTTAGAAAACAGAATGTATTGGTTTTTCTTTTTCTTTATACTGTCAATATCACTTTATCTGTTCTAGATATTGTGGCTTGTAAAGCAAATGAAGATGTTCCAGGAAAGAATGATGGTAAGTACCTTTTATAATACACCTTCTGTTATAATAACGATAGTAGCAGTATTATAGAACTAAAACTACTATTTCAAAAGACTTTTGACTATGTATCAGAAACGTTTTAAATTAAGCAATGCAAATATGTGATCTTTTGCTTTGCATTATAGGTTTGGATTTTCAATCTTATCTTTTAAGCATGGATTTTCTCTCTCAGTTTAATAATGCTTTACCTACAAGAAAAAATCCAGCAGGATCAAATCCACAAATTGTTCATTCAAGTCCACTTAATATATTTGTTGGCTCCCCCATTAAAGAGGAAGATGAGCATCTAGATATTGATGTTAAAAAAACAAATCATGGAAAACAAGAATCCAGTGAGCACATCAAACAGGTATAGTGTGATTACAGTTTTGTCTTTTATTTTGCTTTCAACTTCTCTCCTTTTGCATAAAACATAAAAGCTGATACATCGTACATCATGCAATCTTACAGGAACTTTAAGATTGGATCATATTACATCCGCATCAGTTTTATAACAAGATAGATCAGGAACACTGTAACTATGTGCACAACATTTTCTTCCTGTTCATTTTGGAGCTATCAGGTGTTGTTATTATTATTATTGGGTCCTAGTAGGAAAGGTATGATGAAGGCTGCCCATAGGTTGGGCCTTGCTTTCTTGAATGATTCCAACATGCCAGAACTATGGTACTTGCTTGCTTGACAGTTTGACACTTTGTCCCAGCATGACAGTTTATCAATACAGTGCTTTATCAAGTGATGCAAAAGGGGTGGGTGCTGCTTGATATCTCTATTTTACAGTACTTGTTTTCACTTCCCTATTTATTCATTTATCAAATTTGTACACTGCCCATCTCACCTAAATGAATCTGGGCAGTTTATAAACAACATCATAAAATAATATAAAAATGTAACTAAAAAGCATAGTTGAGAACAGAGTTAAAAATAGATAGATGCTATAGATGCTACTGTATATAAAAACTGATATTGCATGGATAAGCTAAGAACAGATATGGATTCTTAAAAATAAGCAGACAAAACCCAAAAACCTTGTGTACTTCCTCTTGAAAGTTTTAATAAGCAGTTCAGATGTACTTACTGCATTTGAGGAAAGAATAGCTGTCAGTGATTTGGATTTCAAGTGGGTCTTACCATGTGATAAATAGCATTCAAATAAGAGAGAAATTGTTACCTTGCAGCAATCATGCTGGTAGCAAAAATAATCACTTATTGTACTTTGATAGGTCTCCCCTATCCTCTTTTTACAATGTTATGGGTTATTAATACATATATTTTCTGTCCCTCCTGCTGTAGTTGAGCTCAATCTCTGATTCTTCAACCCTGAATACTCCACCTGTTGCCAATTTAATCAAGAGTCCTGATTCCAGAGAAAGACTTATTAAGAATACCCAGACACAACTTTTATATGAATCACCAATTAATGGTACTACCTCAACAAGTATGTGTAACTCACACTTTTGTGGTATAATATTCAAGAGATGCCCACATTTTTAAAAATGCTGTTGTATTTCAATAGTAATTTAAAATCTTTCTTTAAACCATTAACTACTACATTGCTGAGCTGAAAGGTAATATCACATAATCTAAGTTTCTAACTCTTATGAACACAGTATAATTTCCAGATAATGTCTTCATTAGTATGTATTAGATTTTGATTTGTATTCTTCAAGGTTTTATCCTTAATGTTTTAATCATAAGCTTGCTCTAAATTTGTATGCTGAGTGAGGAATTCTTACAACTCTTCCTTACTTCGCAACATAGTTGATGATGAGAAATGACATGGTAAGAATAACTATAGATGTCTTTTTGATATTCTAGTTTGCAGGCTACTTCCATTCTTCTTATTCCTGTAAAAATGAAATGCTCATGCTTCTTGATTATTTTGCATAGATCCAAAGATATCTTCCAATATTACTTCTGGAGTTGCTAGTACACTATCTGAAAAAATAATAGATACTATTGGAAACAGCCGATCGAATGCACCTTTATCATCAATACAAATTCATTTCATTCAGAATATGATACAAGAAACTCTGGATGATTTCAGGTAAAGAGAATTAGATTCATATGTTACTTTACCATATTTTTCTACACATTTATTTTTCATGAGCATTACCACTTAGTAGATGTTGTATATAAACTATTTCAAAACTGAACTGTTCTGAATTTGGTGTGCCCTGATTCAAGAGTGAAACAAGCTTTTTTTTCTGAATGTGAAATGGCTGCCTTAATAATGTTCTATGTCAGTCTTGAAACAGCTGCTAATGCCATTTTCATAGCAAATTCTAGTTAATCTTTTCCTATCTTCATATAACTTTGATGGGCTCTCACTCATGAAATTTCCTGCTCATTCATCAGTAGGTATCTCCTCGTCAATTTGCTTAAGAGAAAATACCTTAGGTCCTGAAGAAGATGAAAACTGTTAAATATACTTCAGTACTAATTCTCAAGGGAAAGACCTTGGGATGGTATTTTTGTGGCATTCTTGTAATTTCTGCATTGATTCCATAAGAACCCTGCCCCCCCCAAACAAAGAATGCAGGAGACCCCTGCAGTGGTGATGAATTTGGAAAAGGTTTATAGCATGACTGGAGAAATCATGTTCTTTAGATGTTATTGGACTCTGGTGTTTAGAATCCATGGCCAGTATGGTCAGTGATCAGGAGAACTGTTGTGGAGCAGTATTTGGTGGGGTTGGTGATGGCTCAGATTTTCTATTATTGAATGTACATAGGATTCCAGAAAATTACTGCAAATACTATAAACATTAAAGCTCAATAGGTTTATATCACATTGTTTATCTAAAGCACTGCTGATGCTCCTTTAATCACAGGTCTTCCTCTATGGTTGGTAGTAACATTCCTTATCTATAGAATATTACTTGCTTTTTAAATATTTTATATTCCTTTATCTGGATCCACAATTTTCTAGAACAAAAGTAAATATTGACATCAAAGTACATCCAACTCCCTTTTGGTGTTATATATTGAACATTGCCTCACCTGAAAGTTGCTTATAGAAACTGGATGCATATAATACTTTGTTTATTTTATTTGATACATATTGCTGTTACTACCCTGACATCAACTGGGAGACAAACTCTGCACCAAGTGGAAGATCAAACAGATTCCTGACAAACCTAGCAGACAATTTTGTCTCCCAAAAAGTAGAGAAGTGAACTAGGGGATTAGCCATTTTGGATCTAATTCTCACTAACAGAGATGAGATGATAGAAGGTGTTGAAGCCACAGGTAGTGATCATGCAATATTGGAATTCAACATTATGGAAGCACAAGCAATAGAACATAGTCAAACTAGAGTCTTGGACTTCAAGAGAGCTAATTTCAATAAACTTAGAGAGGGCTTGGGACGGATTCCATGGATGAGAATCCTCCAGGGGAAAACAACTCAAGAGGCTTGGGAAATTCTGAAAAGTGAGATAATAGAAGCCCAGTCTAGCACAATACCAACAAAGAGGAAAAATAACAGCTCTCAAAAGAAACCAGCATGGCTGCATAAAGAACTCTCTGATAAATTGAAAGATAAAAAGGACAAGTATAGAAAGTGGAAAGAGGGGCACATAACTAAATCAGAATATCAACAAATAGCCCGAGCCTACAAAGATGAAGTGAGGAAAGCTAAGGCTCATAATGAATTAAGGCTTGCGACCAAAGTAAAAAATAACAAAAAAAGCTTCTTTCAACATGTAAAAAACAAGAAAAAAGTGAAGGAAATGATTGGTCCATTAGTGGGCGAAAGTGGCAAGAAGGTGACAAGCAATAGGGAGAAAGCAGAACTATTTAACTTGTTTTTTGCATCTGTCTTTACACAAAGGGAAAAAACAGACCAACCTATCAAAAATAGTGCCATAAAAAACAATAGAAACACGTTAAGATAGGCAAGAAAATGATAAGTGAGCACCTGTCCAGCCTAGACGAGTTCAAATCACCAGGACCAGATGGATTATACCCCAAGGTTCTCAAGGAACTGGCAGATGTGATCTCAGAATCACTGAACTATATTTTTCAAAGATCTTGGAGCACTGGGGAACTACCAGAGGATTGGAAAAGAGCTGATGTAGTTCCCATCTTTAAAAAAGGGGAAAAATGGATCCAGGAAATTACAGACCTATCAGCCTGACCTCAATACCTGGGAAGATTCTGGAAAAGATAATCAAACAATGAATCAGCGAATACCTAGAGGCAAACAAAATCACTACTAAAAGCCAACATGGGTTTGTGAAAAACAGATCATGCCAGACAAACCTTATTGCATTCTTTGACCAAATGACAAAATTAGCGGATCAGAGGAATGCTGTGGATATACTGTAATTTACTTGGACTTCAGTAAGGCATTTGATAAAGTAGATCACAACCTACGACTCGATAAGGTAGAAAAATGTGGGTTAGACAGCATCACCACCAGATGGATTCGTAGCTAGCTGACTGGCCGTACTCAGCGTGTGGTCCTCAATGGAACTGCATCTACATGGAGGGAAGTGTGTAGTGGGATGCCCCAGGGCGCTGTTCCAGGCCCAGTGCTCTTCAACATCTTCATCAACGATTTGGACGAGGGGATAGATGGAGAACTCATCAAATTTGCGGATGACACCAAGCTGGCAGGAATAGCCAACACTCCAGAAGACAGGCTTAAGATACAGGAGGACCTGGACAGACTTGAACACTGGGCGCTATCTAACAAAATGAAATTCAATGGTGAAAAAAGTAAGGTTCTACATTTAGACAAGAAAAACTAAATGTACAGGTATAGTATAGGGGGTACCTTGTTCAATAGTAGTAACTGTGAGAGGGATCTCGGAGTCCTAGTGGATAATCATCTAAATATGAGCCAGCAGTGTGCTGCAGCTGCCAAAAAAGCCAACTCAGTGCTGGGCTGCATTAACAGAGGGATAGAATCAAGATCACGTGAAGTATTAATACCACTTTACAATGCCTTGGTAAGGCCACACTTGGAATACTGCATCCAATTTTGGTCACCACGATGTAAAAAAGATGCTGAGACTAGAAAGAGTACAGAGAAGAGCAACAAAGATGATTAGGAGACTGGAGGCTAAAACATATGAGGAACGGTTGCTGGAATTGGGTATGTCTAGTTTAACGAAGAGAAGGATGAGGGGGGACATGATAGCAGTGTTCCAATATCTCAGGGGCTGCCACAAAGAAGAGGGAGTCAAGCTATTCTCCAAAGCGCCTGAGGGCAGGACAAGAAGCAACAGATGGAAACTAATCAAGGAGAGAAGCAACCTAGAACTAAGGAGAAACTTCCTGACAGTTAGAACAATTAACCAAGGGAACAACCTGCCTCCAGAAGCGGTGAATGCTCCAACACTGGAAGTTTGTAAGAAGAGACTGGACAGCCATTTGTCCAAAATGGTATAGGGTTTCCTGCCTGAGCACGGGATTGGACTCGATGACCTCCAAGGTCCCTTCCAACTTTATTATTATTATTATTATTATTATTATTATTATTATTATTATTATTATTGTTGTTGTTGTTGTTGTTGTTGTTGTTGTTGTTGTTGTTGTTGTTGTTGTTGTTACATTTATAGTAACCAGAGAGCTAATTTGTAGTGGTGAAGGAGCTAGATTAACCCACCCTTAGTTTTAGCAGGCAATTGAATGATAATCTCTTCCTGTCGACCATAGAATAGCATTATGTTCTGAAACAATCCAACTGAAGAATCCCTTGTCAGATCATGCATTCATTGATGGCTTTACTGTCTAAACTAGGCAAGAGAACACTGTAACCGATGCAACAAAAATTTAGAAGACAATCATTTTTTAAAAAAAAAATTATTAGAAGAAGTAGCTGTGGAAAACTATTGAGAATTAAAAGAAATGTATTCTATTTGTATTTATTTCAATTAGTATCTAAAATATAGCAAATATTTTAAGTAGCGTAATTATTTTATCAAGTGTTTGAAAATAATGATCTAAATTTTTGGTAAGACTTCTATATCCAATCTTTTTCAAGATAAATACAAAACAGACTCTTTTAGTGCATTGGTACTGGTACTGAGTATCCCATATACTAATAGTCGAGTTACACACTTTTGAATCTATGGGAAGATTTCTAATTTAGGGGATTACTTAATACTTGTAGATATAAAACAGGGGATGTGGGGGGAGAAAAACAGCCTAAGACATTGAAGTAGTGCGAACACTGCAACACGTTTCCTAAGAAGAAAGAAACAAAATAGTCAATTTCTCCAGTTTCCAATTTAGGATTCAGCTAACTGTATTGTGCATATGCACACACATATGCATGCTCACGCACACAAAATGATGTGTAGCTTATGGCTGCAGCAAAACATACAATTTCTTACTTGTCATATTATGTCAAAAATTGTATTTTGTAGAACTATTTGTAGAATTATACATATTTTGCAGAGTTTCTTACAAATAAACAGATGTTTTTCTCTGTATTCCATTTATCAGAGTAATTTAGAAGCCTGATGCATTAGCTGTCATATTGGGTACTTGACACTGGAAATGCAGTAAGACGAAGAGAAACTGTCTCCTTTCTAATAGCCTATTTCTAGTAGGTTCCATCAAAGAAATACATTAACATTGAAGTGAAGGGATGTAGTGGGATGATAGTTTATCATTTTGAAATTACCTGTGTAGTAGTAAATCTCTGAGTTGAAGAAAAAAAGTCTAGACTTGTGACATAAATTGGTATTTTTCTCTTCTCAGGGAAGCTTGTCATCGTGACATTGTAAATTTGCAAGTAGAAATGATCAAACAGTTTCATGTTCAGTTGGTATGTATACAAATATAAAGAGGTGTACATATATGTTGACAAACTTCCCTTTCATTGCAGTGCTTAATATTTTATTATTCTAAATCTGGGGCAGGTAGTCCATATGTTTTAAAATGCAACTCCATAATCCTTTACTGTAAGCCATAATGGATTTGGAGCCAAACATTCGGAAAGCCACCTTTTCAACAACCTAAAAGGGGGAGGTTGGAGCCAGGACAAAAATGGTCCAAGATTGTCGGGTCTAGCAGTGGTCTTTTCCAGGTTAGTGGTTTACTTAAAAAATAAAGAATGTGACAACATTACTCTGTTTTGGTTATTTTGGGTTGTTTGTGACAACTATAAAGTCTACCTTTCTCTAAAAAAAACCCCTAAGGTACTTTTTAAATGATGCTGTTAAAATTTCATATCTAACAGTAATTTAATATTAATTCTTCTATTACATATTAATTTCCTTTTCTTTTCTCTAGAATGAAATGCATGCCTTACTTGAAAGATATTCTATAAATGACAGTTTAGTAGCAGAAATTGAAAAATTGCGTGAAGAAAATAAAAGACTTCAAACCCACTTCTGACAGATTTCTATTCATGTGGAGAAAATAATTTGATATTTTTGTTCGAAATGGCTAAGGCATCATGATGTCATCTGATAATTTCTGAAGTAGAGTGTAAATTCAGTATTTCTTTCAGTACCAAATATTTTTAATTGTAGAAAAGCAATATATACTGACTTAATACAGAAAATGCACTTACATTTGTATCAAACTGTTTTAATGGTAAAGAAGTCGATGAAAATTGAGGCTAACAGGATTATTAACCATTTCTCTATCTGTATATAAAGTGCCTTTATAAAAAAGGAAACTAAGTAGGACATATTTTTTTTGTATAACAATTCATCAACCTTCTTTGCCTTGTGTGGTGTTGATGGAACTCTCTCCTTTTAGCCTGAAAAAAACCGCAAGTGCCTGACTTTTGATTTTTATATTGTACATGCTCTTTAAAAGTTCATATCTTTCCTACAATGGTTACTTTGTAAGTGTAGAATACAACTCTAATATGTAACTCAATTGTAAACAAAATACCTTCAACTTTTCTATATAATTTCAGAATACAATTTGAATAAACAATATGTATAGTTTTGTCTAAACATACTTGACCCAATAATATTACTATACTAAAATCAGCAATTCCTCAATCTGTTCTTTCAGTATAGTTTTCTTGATTTCTAGTGCAGCCATAGTCAAACTCAGTTATTTCAGTTTGACTTTGCTGTTTGTTAGATTTTTGCTGTTTGTTAGTTTTTGTTATTAAAGTTGAAGAATTGAATAGGCTTAATGTAATTTAATCTGCAAAACAAAATAACTAAAACTACTCAGCTGTCCAATTGGTCAAAAATATGTCCTGGATGTTCCTGTCACCAATAATGTTTTAAAAGAATGTAATTTCCGTGACAGAAACGTGTGCCTTTGATGTAAATGAAGAAAATGTTTTCTGATAGTCCAGCTGGAATCTTTTCAAAAACTTATACCAAGTTGATACAATTCAGTAAAATTATTAGTTTATCCATTTTAATATAAATTTTATTTAGATTATCATAATATAAAATACAAATGAAATAAAGATAATAGAGAAATGGGGAAGGAAAAGAAAGGGAAAGAAAAGTGTGGGATAACAGAAGAGAGAAAAAAAGTATTCCAATTATTTTTCAGATCAGTAAAGTACAAAAAAAATTGGTTAATTATCCATGAGGAATGTGTACATCGTGATACAGTCCATTCCAGAATAAAAACAGGCTGTCTTTGAAAGCGGCAGACTATTTATTTATTGTAGCTTTGTAAACCCAAATTGGCCAGCTTCAAGATGCTATAATAATGGATTTTATTCATCAACAAGGAGTTTGGACTACATTTTCAAAAGATTGTGTCATATTGTCAGGTACTACAGTAAGTTCCACCAAATGTAAAGAGATTTCAATATTTTAATAATATGAATAATGCAACTTGAATTTGCTTGTCTAGGTGCTATTTAGTTGGTAACAAACTAGCATAGCTATTTATAAGTACAGTAAACTGATTTTAGGAAGGAAAGTTCTGATATCCAGAATTGTGTATGTCCTGCATTGAATATAAACAGCTCTATTAAAACCCTTTTGTTTTCCTATTCATACCACAAATCAGGAGAATTACATTATTCAGAAATGAATAATATGCAGCAGTTCTATATACTTTCCATAGGGGACTTGACAATGAACCTATGGGAATTACTGTGAAAGGCAGTGTGTTTAAGGATATGAGTCCGTTTTAATTTCTTATATAGGTAAGGCATATTATTTTGGCAGAAGATATAAAATATTTGGAAAATATGTCAAAACCTTGTGCTTGTCTTCCTTCTTTATATTTTTTCCAATATCTAAAGCATTTGATAATTTCAGGTGTCTTATTAGACATAACAGAATTTATATGACATGTTACTGTCTTTTACATTCTGCAGAGTCAAAATCATGAAATTGTTCACAGTGTTTAAAAATGTAAAAGTATGAAATGCTTTCACACAGAGTATAACCTATTCAGTACTTTTACATGCACACACACACACACACACACACACACACACACACAGAGAGAGAGAGAGAGAGAGAGACAGACAGACAGACACAGTGAAAAATGTGTGTGTATGTATGTATGTATGTATGTATGTATATAAGCTTGCACATCTGACTTAAAGATCCAACTGTTTTCTGTTCCCAGTAATCTGGCATGGAAAGTACTTGTCTTTCACGTGACCTCTTAAAATCATTTCAGAAAACAGCAACCGTATTAGATTCTTTTGTAAACCTGTCCTATACAGAAATGCTTTCAAGATTCTATGGAGAAGAAAGTTGAAATGTAATTTATATTTAAAAATCATACTGTCATAAAGTAAAGGAAAATCTTCAGTTAAGTATTGTTATGGTAGATCTGTGCTAGAATACTGCTTTTGAACACTTGTAAGATAGCCAGGATTTTAAAAATAAGACATGGTGACAAGCAGTATATGAGGTACATTGACGGGAATGCTGGCTTTGGTGATTGGAAACCAGAATGAAAGCATGGTGAGTTCTTAATTTACTGAACCAATTTCCCACTGTGAAATCCACAGGTTTCTGTTCTGAATGAATTTTGACATGCTGTTCCATTTTTCAGATTAATATGCTTTCTTTGTTCATTTACTAAACACAGAAAGTGTTGTGTGGTATCATAAAATAAATACAGTCCAATTAACTTTTAAAATATTTTAAAGTAAATATTGTTCTTTTGCCAAATATCACAGTTATATGGTTGCTACCATTACGTTGCTTGTTATTATAGCATGAGTTTATTGTACATGGAGTATCTCTCTGAGGGACATGGATGGTTCAAAAATGTGAAAATAAATAAAACAAGTTTCAAAGCAGAAACCATAAATATGTTCATTTAATACAATGAGAAAAAAATAAGTGGATTTTGTTCCCCTTTTTAGAGAGGAAAGATGTTCACAGATATAAAATTCAATAGTATTTTTGAGAAGAATGGGAATATATTAACATGTGACTCTTATCATGTTGAAAGGAAAGCACTAGATTAATAGACTTCATATATGGACAGCAATTATGCCTTCATTAAAGGTAATATATTAAATTGAACTGTAACACTGGAATTTAAATGTAATAAAAACCAATACTAGCATACATAATATCCAAGAAATTACAACATTGACTAGTTTTGGCCATGTCATTTCTATAATTAATGGTAGTTGTTTAATCCCTGTGCTTGTATTTCATTGGGAGTCAAAATCGTTTTCATGTAACCACAAAAGTAGTTTTAAATTATTACAATGATTTTCCCTTGTGATTTTTCTACTTAACTCATAATCTAATTCTAAGTGTATGCAGTTAGGTTGTTGCAGCTCAGTGATTGATGTTTCCATTTTATTTCATATTTATAGTAAAGTCAAGGGAGTGTCTCTTGCACACACACACACACACACACACACACACACACACACACACACACACACAGGCTGGGCTCACACCATACTTAATTGTACTCTATTGGAAAACTGGGCTTTACATCATACTAAATCTAAACTAATCAAAGTATGTTTCAGTGCAATGTACAAACTATGTTACTCTTTTCATATTTCCTCTTTTATATTCTTCTAAATTAAAGCCACTGTTTCCATAGTGACATGTCATTCAGAAAGGAAGACTCTATGGGGTGAATGATTGATGAAATAAGCAACTTCAAAATGGAATGAAAATGGATATTGTCCAAAATATAGCAAAGCGTTTGACATTTACTGGGATTCTTTTTGTTGTTCTGGAGTATTGTGTGGATTTGAAGTAGAAATAAAACTTTTTCCAACATTACATGCTTTTCTTTTGGGGTATTCTGCTTATTTTTACTGCACCGAAATGAAAGCCTCTGCTTTCTGATGTATATTTTGTTGCCATAGAAACAATGATCTAAGTGGCAGGGATATCACTAACCTCTGCTGTGAAAACAAAACATAACAATTGCTTAATATAGAATGCTTTGAAAGCTTGGGGCAGGCTGGGCAAGTGGAAGAATCTAATCAAAATATCTCTTGTTGCAAGAACAATTGGTGACTGGTGTTGCCGTTTTGCCCCATATGACTTATTTTGTACAAAGTTTTGGAGCCCTTAAAAGGTCACATTTTTCTAGTGATGAAAGCAACAAATGCAGTTTTTTGGCCAGTAATGCTATCATGCTTACCTGATTATAAGATCTGCTTAATTTGGTGGGATTTAATTCTGATTAGATGTGTATATAATTACATTCTAAATTGCTTTCCCTAAAACAATTTCTTGTTTTATTACTTTTATTTTTAAGCCACCTTTTAATATACACTATTTTTACTGGTTTGTTACAGGTTAAGAAAGATATCTACAGAAAATAATGTTGATTTTATTTGTAACAAGTATTTTTGTTTCTTATCCATGCATTCATTTATTATGAGGCAAAATTAGCTTTTTTTCAAACTGTTGCTAGTTGGAAACTATAGGAGCAAAATTCCAGGTACAAAATGACACAAGTCATTGAGATAGGAATAAAGGGGAAGCAATGTTAGTTCTTCAATAGATAAAACCTTATCTGTTTCTTCTAAACCATTTTCTTTCTTAAAAAACAGATTTTTATAGGATTTGTTAACCTCTTCTCTCCATGCTTGTATCTCAAGTAAAATATGTATAAAATAGACTTCTATAAGAATGGCAATGTCTGTATTTTGGAATCTAAATGAGCTCATAAAGATTTTTAGCTACTTCTGTCAGTCACATGAGAACTGGGTAGTAGGCAACTCCTGTATAGAAATTACTGCTAATGTGATGAATAATTTTCTTTTGTGGATTTACAACCCAGTAATAGTGCAAGGATGAAGTGTACTGTTATTATTTTTTTGTATCCTTTAAAATTGAATTAAAATTTATACATAGGCTCATCACCAAATACTTAATTTCAACTAAATTCTGAACTAATTCTACAAATAAATTATAAAAATAACAAATATAACAGTTTGTACAGTCATGAGAAAAATAGTAAAACACTAAAACTAGAGATTACGCCAACTGACCTTCATTTAAGATGCTAGTCTATGGTCAGCTATTAAATTTGCAAGCAAAGCCAACTATCACAGGAAATTAATTTTGCGGTCTTGGTCAGACAAAAGTTAAGACAAAATGTTGAAGAAAATGTTTAATAAAATCATAGTATAGTGCAGTGTGTTTGATAGATAAAGTTAGTATAACATAATGTTCTGAATCTGCCTTCTATGCCTGCTTGAGAGTAACATCTTGTGCAGTAGCATAAAGTCTCATATACAATAAGCTGATCAAGATATACATCTGACTTAAGACTAACTTTAGTGTGGATTCTGTTAATGCACATTCCCACGTTCCCTTGGTAAGACCTAGTTTGCTATCCCAAGACCAACTTTGTCTCAAGAATATAAAAATTGTGGCTAAAATAATAATTAAACATAGTGAATCATTCCCTTATTTCAATTGTGGGTCAGACCCTTTTAATATAAAGTTTTGCATGCAGACATAGCACACTACCTGGAACAGCTTTCTTGGACTGAACATCCTCATCTTCCCATAAAAGATGGGTCAGTACCTTGATTTCAATTTTTTTAAACACTGTAGCTGCAGAAATGTTTTCAGCTCATGTAAAAAAAATATCACATAATAGCTAACATTATTTTGAGTATTTTCTGAAGTGTGTGATAGAGGGCTTTTATACCTCTCTGACTTTGGAAGGTCACCTGTATTGTTATTTAAAATGCACCACTTGCTTGATCTTACGTTAACTGGTGGCGCCAGACTACATTTGTAGGGGTTTCTTTTTAAATAATGAAGACTAGGATCCGAGTTTTATTAAAAATGAAAAGGCAAATCCTTCCACTTGGGAGATTCCATGGATATGTATTTTCTTTGCATCAGTCTTGAAGTGGTGACTATTCTGGGATGTGTTTTGACCTCCCAGTCTACCTCCATAAGCCTTAGAATTCCTGAATACCAATAGAAGAGAATATTTGTAGTTCAGGATTGAACAGTGGGA